GCGGGGGGGGCGGGGCCCCCCCTGGGCCCCCCCCCCCGCCTCACCGTTGAGGTGGGCCGCGCTGACGTTGGGTGGGGTGATGGCGGCGGCGGCGGAGGTGAGGGGGATGAGGGGCCGGCTCCCCGGGGTGGGCGGCTGGTGGCCGTGCTGAGGGGAGACGGCGGGGTGAGGCCGGATGGTGGCCGCCGGCAAGCGGGAGGGCGAGCTGGGCGTCCGCAGGGGCGACACCGTGGCGGTGGGCCGCTCCGGGGCCGGCACTGCGGGGTGAGCTGTGGAGGGAGGACAGAGAACGGTTAAGCTCCCCCGCGCGATGCCGGACCCGGCCCTTCGGTGGCTGTCCCCCATCGGGGCCCGACGGGGAGATAAGCTTTTAGTCTTAACCCAGGATTATCTCAGCCTGCAAGCGTTTTCGGCTCAGTCGCCCTCCTGGCTGCCAAAGGCCTGTCTGCGGTCACCAAAATGGCTGGTCCTCCTGACTGACGTGACTGGGGAACGGCCTGACCACCCCTGCCCATGCTTGGAAATAAACAGCAAGCCTACTGTGTTTTTAAAATACCTTATCTCGTTCCAGCTGAGCTGTTTTCCGAACCTCCAGGACCCACTCCTAACCGGAGAGGTTTCGGAGCAACGCAACAAGGGACCTAAAGGTGATTCACACCGACCTCAAAGCCAGCAATTACAAAGGAAGAGCTCTTGTTTCAGCCCTAACAAAATGATCAACAGCGCATCACTGTGCTGCACAAGATAAATTAAACAGAAATCCACCAGAGGATTTCCGAGCTCAGCCTCGACTCTGCCAGCAAAGTCCCTAAGGGACTATGCAGTCCCTTTTCGTCTTGCTGCCCCTGCTGAGCAAACCCTGCCTACAAGCACAAGGAACCAGGAATTAGGGCTCATCTCTTTAACGGTGACCGTGACACACTGCCGAGGTCAGCTCTCCAGGGATCCGGGAGCCTGTTGCATGGTTCACGTTGCAAAAAGTGTGACAAAGCTCCAGGTCCATTTCCACAACAATATTGCCTTTGACTTCCAGGCTGGTTGATTGCTTAAGGTGTAACCTACATACAGCTCCACTTCAACTATGCACAGACCAGAACCCAAATCCACACTCAGACATTCCCTCGCTTAAATGATTCAATAGTAGGGCTGGCTGGAAAATGCTCATTTCACAAATGATTTCAAGGTTTCATAATCTGGTTTAGTTCTGCCTCAGTGCAAAATCTGAACCTTTGAACATTCGTCTGAGCACAACCTACTCACCCACCCCCCAGTAACCTCTATTCTGGTCAGGGCATTCACCTGGGATGTGAAAACACAGGAACTGGTCACTGCACAGCAGCGAACAGCTCTGGGCAGCTGTCTATTCCCTTTGCAACCTGAGCCAGGACAGCTTCATGGTCGAAGTCCGGTTGAACTACATCCATTCCTGACAAAAAGCTTTGAGTCCAACAGATCAGCTTTTCTTTGACCAAGAAGCATTTTTCTGGAAAATTTCTGACCCACTCTGATCTGTGGTTTTCTTACAAATTCAATACATTTTTACGCAGGACCAGCTGGAGTTCACTCAATCTATAACTAAACAACAATGCTAGAACAACTCAGACCACTATTTTCTGTTTCTGTGGTTAACAGCGGCACCCATTACCAGGGATTGAAACAATAAGAAGTGCTGTTAATCATGCTCACTACACCAGCTGAGCACTGCTGCCAGGAGGGAATTTCATTCCCCAGCCTTATGCCCTATTATCTGAAGTGATACTGAACGTGATGGGCCAGTGATCATCAGATTAGCACCTCCAAAGTTTACATGATTGTCCCTCATGGTAACTCCTTGACTCTGTAACATCTCTTTTTATTAACGTTGCTCATAGCAAATCAACCAAATTATCATTAACCAGTCTTGAATTTGATGTTATTTTACCATGTAGCATGCGGAAGGGCCTAAAAGTTATTACAGATGCCTTCAAGACTATTCTTACTCTTAGTTGCCATTTTCCCCTCCGTGGATTACCAAAACCAGAGATTGGACAGTGCAATTTCTTTCCAGAGAGCCAGACAGGGCACCACTGGTTATCTCGAAGTGATTCCCTCCTTCTGATTTTCCTGTTTGGAACCTGTGTGATGTGCAACCATTGCTGCCAGAAATCTAATTTTCCAGGATGGTTAAGCTTGCAGGGTCAAGGTTTTGTACTACTGGTTGTAGGGAGCAATGGCTTTCCTAAATTTAGAGGAAAAGCACAATAATGGAATTTCATTGCATGTACCTGGATGCAGAAGACTGATTTGATAATCACATTAGGTATATTACTTCTTTCATATAGGACTCGGTGTTTCCAGATGCACAAGAAACAGAAAACATGCGAAACAGTAAAATAAATGGCCTGAGAAAAATCAACTCTGAGTAGAGCTCTCACATTTTATTCTGTAATTTCATCTGCTTACTGTTACAATGTATGCCTTTGCTCTGGGATCTCTGGATCTGGACTGTGCTGCATCAAACATGCTATTAATTAGCAATGCTCACTGAAGGCTATTTTTGTTCTACACCACTCATATTTCACTTTGGGTGTATTCCTACATTAGTGGCCTTGTGCAAAATTGATTTGTTACTCATGTATATTGCAAGCCAACAGAAATGTGATTTGAATACTGGGCCAGCTTGCCTCTCTTGGAAAGGTTTTCCAAAAGTCAGTGTGCGCTGCCCTGTCCTGCAGGACTAAAGGGACCTTTTGAGAGGCTCTGGTCAACAGGATACTGGTGAGGACATCCATTATGGAGAAAAATACTGATAATGATGAAAAAATTCCTTTATTTATCCTGGCAAAGGTTTATTTAATTAAAACAACAATCTCATCAACCTTCTGGAAGGGCTGGAGAACTCCCCACTTAGGAGGTTTTGGAGCAGCTCTGTGGTCCCTGGATCACCCTACGTGCCAACTCCTTGGCACTTTCAGATGTCAGAGTGACCTGGAGGAGCAATCTTAAATCAGATAAGCTGCTGGAGGTGTAGCACAGCAGCGTCGTGGAAGGAAGGTGTGGGGCATGCCAGGTGCGTGGGGCAAAATGACGTGTCACCTCAGTTTCAGGGGAGCCCGTCTCCCTGTTGGCACGGGCACAGGAGGCACCAAGAGCACCCCAACGCTTCCTGAGAGCCTTGCCCGAGAGGGGACGTTTCTGCCTTTGCACTGTGGGGGCAGAAGGGCTTTTGGAAGGGTGCGATTTGAGGGGAAAGCAGCACTTTCTGAACTAGACAAAAAGAGGGTAAATCGATGATTCCCCAGCGTGACATGGATGGCATGTGAAGTCCTGCCGCTGTTTGTTGAGCGGAGCAGCCTGCACTGTTCAAGATTCAGATTCACACGTTTGATTACGTTTTCTTCCCTTTGGTCTGGACTGTGTAGAAGGTGAGATTAGACGGTCATAATGGTGCCTTCTGGCTTCAAAAGGTATGAATCCATGACTTACACTGCAGTGTATTTCTCATTTGTGCCTGCTGTTTTGTGTCTAAGACCTCAGTTTTCAGCAGTCACAGTCCTTACTAATCTGCCTTTGTAAACACAATGGCTCACATGCCTATAAAAAATCAGAAACAAAATGTTTTAAATTTTGCTATAAAGTTCCACCACAGGATTTACTTTTACTTTATTCAACTTCAGAGCTGTTTAACATCAGGGAGAGGGGAATAAACTGTACTCTAGAAAATTGTGCTGTACATCAGAAGGGGAACCTAGAAAGAACAGAGGCCCCCTGGTGTGAAAAGCTCTTATTCTCATTTCAAAAAGGTGGCAGCGTTTTTCAGATCTTTTGCTTTATCACTAACACCGGGTCCTGTTCTGCCTAATAAATACCTTTCATCCCTGAAGCCCGATGAAATGCTGCTTAATTTTAAGTCGTGTATTACTTGCCCTGCGATAAGGGCAGTATTTTTCCATCAGCAAGCCAACCGGATTCAGAACTGTTAATCTCCTCAGTATGCAGGGTGCTTGCTTTCACTCAGATAAATTGTATAAATATTTGTAAACACTATAATCTATTTCAGCTGTAGCAACAGAACAATCTGATAAACACAACGTGGTTCCCAGGGATCAATAGAAGCCCATAAATATTACAAGCAAATAAAACATACTCTATTCCACATTGACTGAGCTGTGACTAAAACGAGAAAGCAAGCTGTGGGGACGGGCGGATTCAAGAGCCTTGCGCTGGAGGGGTATGACATTAATCCTGCCGACGCGGGGCGAGAGACACTGGCGAGCGTACGCACGTACCCATCTGCATGGCGTTGCGGGTCTGGCTGGCTGGCTGCTGAGCTGAATACCTCAAGCAGTTATTGAGCTGCGGAGAGGCTGCCTGGAGCTGGGGATGCGTCTGAGGCACAGTGATAGGGACAACAGGTCTGACAGCTGTGGTGGCGTTGGTGTGACCGGCCCCGATGGGGTGGATGGCTCCTGGGGCTCCTTTCGTTGTCGGAGCTCCCCCGGCTCCGCTGTTCCTGGGCTGCCCGGCTCCCACCGGCACCCTGCATGGAGACAAGGCACGGCGTAAGCGTGCTGCCGAGACCCCGACACCCAGCCACAACGCTGATAAGCACCCCCAGTTACTTAGGGGGTCCAACATGGCACCCTCTCAGGTGTTAAAGTAAAACGAGATATAGATATATATCGATCTTTATAGGACACAGTCGTCAGCATGCTGGAGGACATTTTCACCCCTTTATCCTGTGGGAAGAAGTGCAGGGTAAAAATGGAAAAGATAATTTTTCTCATCACTTTTTTTTCTTAAGCTACATTTCCGTCTGAATAGTTGCTAGTAAAATCACAAATCTAAATTCAGAAAAAAAAGGATATCTCCCAAATGTCATTTTGTGTGCCAGAGGCTATTTTACAGGCACTAATGGAGTGATAATTAAAACAGACGCAGAGATCTTTTCTTAGGATCAAACCTGCATACAGCCCCACAGGGAGAAAAAAAGATGGATAACACCAAATTTGTGTGTGGCTGTTGAAGGGGACTGAAAAACAGCAGACTTGGCAGAGGTTGGCTTGGCTGAACACTTACCCTACCGGTGTCACCAGCCCTAGCTTAGACTTGCTAAGGAAATTCAAAAGGGGAGGGAATGCAGCTGACCTTACCGAAAAGGAAATTCAAACAATAATCAACCCCTCTTTTGCTGCTCACTTAAACTGTATGCATAGTTTGTGTTTCATCTGAGTGGCTGGGGAGACCTCGGGGGGAAGGAACGAGGCTCCTTCTCCTGTGCAATGAGTTCAGCCTAGAGCAGGTCTTGGTCCTCTTACCACTCAGCTAGAAACTCTGACCAGCGCAGGAGGACACTGGGGAGGACAGAAGGACACCAGCGGACAAACTCAGCTGCTGCTCAGCAGCTCCTTCTCTGTGTTTCTTGCTCAGGTTCCTGAGTAATTTCCTTCCCCAGCAGTAGATGCCATGAAACAGAGGGATCATTTTGTGCTGACTCCTCTCCTGGGCTGCTCCATGTGCCAAGGTCCTCTCCAGGGAAGGACAGCAGAGGGGATATGACACAGAACAGAGCATGGTGGAGGAAATGGAAATGAGACAGTGCAGGGGGTTAGCAAGGGAGGAGGTGGGACTGGGAGAACTTCTGGGGCCCCAAAATTGTTGTGTGGGAACACAGAGAGGAGAAGAGCAGAAAGGAGGAGTGCGCTGAACAATCTGGCCCAATTCAAAGGACAAGAAAGACAGAAGAAGCAACCCTAAGAAAAGAATGGAAAGGGGAAGAGCCAGAAGAGTGAAATTCTGATAGAAAGAGACCAAAAGACAGGCTGGAAGTGCAAAAAAGTGCAAAAGATAGCCATCCCCTCTGCCCTATCTCCCCTCCCTCCAAAATCGCAGGAGGAAAAACAACAGTGGTGTCATTGACTTGACTCATCTCATGGTGCAAGGTTTGCCTGGATTACATTTTGCTAAATGAATCTGAGGTTGTTTTTTTTTTTCTTCTTTTTTTTTTTTCATCTGCCTCCAGGTAGGGAAAAGCTGGGAATCCCACCAGATGGAAATCTTGACTGTCATCTGCTGTGAAGAGCTGGCAGGGTAGCAGCAAGTTTCAGCTGGAGCTGGCTTGGCCATCTGCACTAGATGGAGTTTGCCAGAAAAGCACACCTAATAATCCACCGAGAGCTGCGTTCAGGCAAACATGCGCACCGACAGTACAGAAACTGCCTGTGACTCCCACAGTGCTGGATAGATGTTGCACGTGGCAGATTTTCTCTGCTGCCCTGTGCCTGTCTGTCTGTCTAGAGGGTCTTGTCCTTTTTCCACCATGCTCTGCTCACACATGCGCTTTGGCAGCTTATAAATCTAGTTCAGCGTTACTAAATTCATGGGCAACTTCTTTTTCTTGGGTTTTGTAGGGAGTGGCAGAAAAACATGCATGAATCTAATCCTCTGCTTTGCTGTCAAAGGGGAACAAAGTCAGTTGAAAGTGCAGCAAATAAGAGATTTTGTTGCTATCAGATTTTTATTGTTGTTCTCACTGAGGGTGATTTACACAGGAACTTAATTAGCTTGCAGGATCATAAATATAATCATAAAGCTGCTTTTGGGTTTTGTGGAAAGCACTTTTGCCCTTTAGCACTTCCCTCTGTCTTGTTCTAGCTGTGACATGCTGCATTTAATAAAGTCTTGCTGATTCAGATCACCAACCCTTCAGCACAAACTTCTTTACTAATTAAGAGCTGAAAAGGCAAGGAGTGAAGGCAGCCAAGGGGCTCTATAAAACCAGGTAAATACATTTAGGTTGATGAAGAGTGAAGAACCCATTAATTGGGTTAATTAATGTTGGAGTTTTTTTACTGAAATGCAATATTAAGACTGTCAGCAGGCTTAAGTTATCATCTTCTAATCTGCTCTTAACTTTTGGTCTTGCTCAGTCCACATATTACAAACTTGACATAAACTGAAGTTGGAACAAATCGGGATCAATTTTCCAAGATCAACACTGTCTGAGTTGCGAAGTGCCTTTCTCTAGAGAGGAGCAAAAAGATGGTGGAGACTCTGTGCATGTGGGAGGAGAGACTGAGAGCATACAAGAAGGGGTGAGTTCGGTTTGCAAACCCACGGTTGCTCTAAAGGAGATCCGGGCATACACATGGCAACATTGACCTGCAAGGAGCACGTGAGGCAAAACAGGCTGGGACACACTGATGAACTTTCTCCTCAGTTTGCAGACTATTTCGGAGTGGGCTCTAGATCAGAAACAACCTTCGATTGGTGTCGTCCAACACCAAACTCTGACAAAAGGCATTCCTCCTCAAATGTGCTATTCTTTCCTTTTCTCATCTTCTGCAACTGAGACAGACGTAGCTAAAATCAGACAATGTACTGAACTCTCCTACCGCTTCTGAAATTTAATGGTTCAAACATTAGTCCAGATCCAAACACTCTAAGATCTTTGATTCAAGAAAAATAAAATCCACATGAGGAGCTACTGAAAAGCAAGACACAAGCATTCCTTGTTTTGTTTATCCCCGTTACATGTCCAGTAGTTTTATAACAATAAAAAGATCCTCAGCCAACAGATTCTTTACAATAGTAAAACCTGGGCTCAGCAGACTTTGTAAAGTCAGAGGTTGTAAATGCCATCATCTAACACAACTAGTGAAGTCTTCCGAGAACACGGATAGCTCCAATGCTACAACCAGCAAGTTTCATTACCCAAGCTTGCAATGCCACCAGAAAATTTCTGGAAGGGGAACGTGATTTAATAGCAGAGCTACGTTGTTTTCAGTATCCTCCAGACACAGAATCCCTCTCAGCCCCAGCTCGGGCATATCCACCTTGGCCAGTGGTCCTCACCTTGAAACAGGCGTCACGTAGTTGCCTGGGAAGACGCCAGACATCCCACTCCTCAGAGACGTCCCCTTGAACCAGCCGTCCTGGCACTTCTCAATGACTCGGTACATCTCACCTTTGCGGAGCTCCAGCTCGTCGTTCTTCTGAGGCTTGTAGGCATACAGGGCTAGGTAGCTGTGGGGAGAGGTCACACAAGAAGAAAGCACACAGCTGGGGTCAACCACCACCTTTCCTGCTTCGGCTCCAGCCCTGCAGAGCAGAAAGCGAGCAGAAACCCTGCTCAGAAATGGTGGTTAAAAAAGGGACATCATCACAGCACACCAAAGAAGGAACGGCAGAGGCAAGATCAACTGGATGCTAAGACAGTAAGGGAATAACTAATCAGATTAAAGGGAGGGGGTAATTTAGAAATTCGTAGGACATACTTCTCACTCAGGGCACAACCAAAGCAAAACACTGCCACAAAGCAGCACTGAAGTTAAAGACTGAGCAGCAGTTTCAGAGGACAAGGTCATTACAGAGACAGCCAGAGTAACCAAGACTCAAGTAGGAAGGCTTTGCAAAGCCTAACATCTGGATGAAGTATGTATTCGGATGCTTCAGGGTGGGAGCCAGCCCTACTGCGGATTTTCAGAAGAAACTTTTCTTATGGGTAGGCTGCTTCAAAAACATTTAAGGCAGCTTTTCTTGCAGCTTTCTCAATGCTATTTATGCTGGCCAGTTTTAGAAACAACACACCAGACTGTTCTGATCTGGTATAGTAATTCTTGTATTATGTGGGTAAAACAAAAAGTGACAGAGGGCCAAATTCTGCAAGGGGATTTTTACTTATGTAAGTGAAGTGGTAATATTTGGCTTTGGATGTTTTGCATGCAAGTATTCTAATAAATCTTTAACAAGGACTCAATATGTAGAACTTTTTATTTATTTAATTACAGCTTTTATTTATTCCCTTTGTTTAGAGTCTTCCTTTTTATCTCTCTTTTGTTCTTCTGTTACTACTTCAGGGACGTGTCTAATGTTGTGAAATGACTACAACTTAAAGTCCCTAAAGATATTCTCTCTGTTTAGAGAGATCCTTGTTGAAAATTAAGAATGATTGCTTGCGCTTTGGGGAATAACGGAAAGTTGGGATAGGATAGCAAGAGTGCACACACAGGACAACACTTTCTTTGTAAATACCATTTTTTTTTGGTACTGTCGCCTTTCTACAAACGCAAAAAGGGATTTCTGGTAATTCTTGATCAAGGTTGTGCCTTTTTGAGATTTTTTTTTAATTTGTGCTTTACAGGCAGTGCAGAGAGATTAGGACAAATGGGGAAACACTTAGAGAAAGTGCATTTACACTACAAAGTGCAGTAGAATGCTCTTAGGCTCAGGGGTGGGTGAGAAGAGGCTTGCTGCCCACCTTATAGCAGCGAACCAGAGAAATAATGAAAACTATAACCATTGTGATTGTAGACTTGCAGCCAATAAAAATGATAGATGGCTTTTTACTTCTGCTCTCCAGGAAATATAATTGAGGAATAAATCCTGTTAGTTTTTCTGATTCTACTCCTTTATGGTACCAGTAGATTTCCTTATTTTTATTCTGAAGGCAGTAAATAAACAGCAGTAATGAGCAGAATATGAAATATTTGGTAACAGCTCCTTGGGGCATGCTTAGGCTGATGTGCCTGGCTCTGTTTACCACGTGCAAGGGGTACAAAGACCTAATCAGAAACTGTGTTGCATTAGTCAACAGATGGGAGAAACCATCCTGCACATCCTTTGTTTAGCCTATATAATCAGCTGGTCCTGAGCAGGTCTCTAGCTGTTCACCTGATGGAAAACATAAGGCTACATATGAACTGAAGAACATTAAAATGCATCACCCTGACATGAAATAAGGTTGCATGCTTCAGTGCTAATCCTTCAGCACTGCGCTCTGCTAGGACGTAACGGAAAGTGCTGGACCGCGCTCACTCCAGGGAGCAGAAAGCGTGGCTTTGACTACCCCTTTTTAAGTCGCTGCTTACACAGGACTCATATTCAAAAGCTACGGGTAAAGCGGGGTCAAAGACAGGGCATTTTACATAGCCTCACTTAGCCCTGTCCCCAGGGGGCTACATGTAATAATGTCATTTACAGGTTGAGATGCTGGAAGAAGGTGCAAGGAAATTACCCTAAGTGGATCATAGGCTGCTTTCCCTTGCAGCTACCTCCAGCTCTCCTACTAGTTTCTTTCTGTTCCTCTCTGCAAATTCCCCCAACTCAGCCTCCAGTAAGCCTGAATATCCAATATCACAATGAGCCTAAACATCCTCCGGAGAGAGTATCAAAATCCTTGCAGGCGTACAACAGCCCAGCCTGGACTCCATGCCAAAACCGACCGATCTCTGTACGGCTAAACCGATGAAAACTTGTATGTGACAACCACATAGCGTGACCCTGGGACAACAGAGGTGATCAGCGCTTTCTTCGTGGACCGGCAATCCCACCACCTGCGTGGGGCAGTGAGGATGCCCATCCCTGGGGGTTTCCTCTATTAGTCTGCAAAAAGGCAGGGACTTCTCCAAACCCAGCGACAGGCTCAGCCTGGGTCTGCTGCCTGGCCGTGGCTGGCATGCCCGCCCCATGGGGACAGGCATACGCTCTCATACGTGGCTGAAAACAATTTGAGGGCAGGCAGCTTCCCTCCCCAGAAAGTGTTCCTGGGCTTTTCCTCTGGTAGGAAATCAGATCTAGCGGTCCCGGCTGCTGAGGCTGATTTTGCCTTAAGCCAAAGGCTTTGAACGTGGACGCTTTTCACCATTCTCTAGATTTTAGGTGTGAAACTTTACCAGCAAACTCTACAACTGAGAAGAAAGTGTTAAAACAACAATCTGAAAGCTCACAAAATGGAATAGCAAGTTATTCTGGGCTACGTGAAACAGTGAGGCTAAGGGTTGGGGAGCAGCACCTAGAAGAAGCCAAAATGTTTATTAAAAGTTCCCTAAAAACAGGCCTAAGCAAGAAGGCAGCTCGTGTTCTTGGCTTCAGTGAGCTGCCCGTGACTCTGCTTATAATGCAGAAGCCCCAGGGCTCTGTGTAGGGTTGTACCTCCCCAGTTCTGCTACAGTTTTCAGATAAAGCTTCCTCTTTGACTGGAACTTGGCTTGCCAATGCAAAATGACAGACCAGATTACGAGGCTGCTTCATGAGGGAGACGACAGGAGAAGCACGGGAGGGAGAAGGGAAGGCTTGCTGAGGCACGGAGGCAGAGGCATTGCCAGAGAGCTGGAAAATGTCCTGATTCAGCAACTAAATACTGGAAATACTGCCAGTTACTGCTTCCCAGTCTGGGCAATGTTTGAAATAAATTTGTGCCCCACTATGTGCCCCACAGGCTGCACAGGGTGACCACAGAGTGATGATGAGACCTCTCTGTGGGGCAGTCAGAGATGTGTAGTACCCCTCAGGTATGAAGATCTCACCTTAGCAGCCAAGAACAAATTTGGTTTGGTTCTGTTCCAACTCCCCTATTCTCCTTAAAGCAGATTCGCTATGTTATTTAAGGATTTTATTTGTGAATTCAGACCTTCTTTTAGTCATATCATAAAACCCTAAAATACTGGCATGCATATGTGTTTGTGTGTCTATATAGTTCTACTGATTTCACAAGATATATGTGATGAGATGAAAGGGTTCTGCAGTTTAACTAGACAGGTACCAGATAAACCAACCAGGCTAGAAGAGATTTATTATAATGAAGTCTACTCTTTTTGTTTTGTATCTAGTCAACCTTCTGTTATTCTACACACTATTCAATAAGCCCATATGCCCATGATATGAAGTTTATTTGTTGGCTTTGTTTATGGCACTGAAAAAATGCAATTGGGTCATTTTTTCTGGTTAATGATGAATGTATCAGGTGTTCGATTGGATGGGACTACACCTTTTTAAGAGCTTTAAATGAAGGAAGATTTTCTTTAGCTGAGAGGCATTCTGTTTGCTTCACAGTGATTCATACAGCTGTAATAAATATATCAGGAGTCTAAAAGGGCTCACAGAGAAAGAGGGAAGTCTTGCCGTTCTCTGCTTGTTTTTCAATTTCAGCAGAGGCTGGGTCATGTATGAAATTGCAATCTCTCTCTTCTCAGAAAGCTCCTGAGCTGAGATTCAGGCTTTCAGATTTCAAGCACACGCACACATGCACACACAATTGGAAACAAAGAGCACGCAGTGACTGAGATGAGCTGCTTACATATTGAGGGGGAGCTGGACCTTCGGTGGTGTTCCCTGATCTCCAATTATTGCACTTGTCCTGGGACCAGCCACTGTGGCTGTTCCAATTGAAGAGGAATCCTGAAAATACACGAAGAAGAACATACAAGGATTAAGATGAAGCCCACCATTTCCTCAAATGCTATGGGGTGAAGGCACAGAAGAAAAAAAATCACATCTTTTATCAACTCCCAGACTTTCTAACTTCATGATACTGCATTAAAAAAGACATCTTTTAGCCTTACACGTTCCAAAAATACATTTCTGACACAAGGGATATTAGGTTATTAACAGCATTTCCATGTACCTGTCAGAGAAATTTAGTTGTACCTTGCATGCAGATCTTAAAAGTTTTAGAATGCAAAACTACTGGGCTGCTTTGTAAAATCAGCTCATCTCTGCAATAGCACCTTCTCTGATAAAAGTAACCTTTTCTCCCTCAAAAGCTTGTTTTTAAAATTGTACTCTTTTGGTTAATGGTTATGGATCTATGGAGAAGAAGATACTATTCAATTTCCAAAATGCAGTCTCATTTCTGTATACTGCTTTTATCACCAGGAATATTCTTCTCCTTAATAAAAAGGTGACAACACAACCCAAAACAGGAGTACCTCTGAATGGAGAAAGTACGAGTCCCCTCCAGTTTTACCACAGCAAACAAATCCTCACTCTCATATAGAGAACTGGGCAGATCTTTTTCAGCTATTAATATTGAGAGGCAATTCTAAATGTAATCATTCATTTTTTAAAGCTTAATGCTCAGCAAAAGTATGTAGGGCAAACTCTTTTGAGTTGTCTCACCAAAGTCCTCATTCATCTATGTCAAAAATGAATCCCGACTGGAAACTTCTCCTGAAGTAATGCCAAGGCCTGTAGCAACAGATCTTTGCTGCAAAGACAGGGCAGAGCTGGGCTGATGGGACTTGTAATGGTTTATCTGAGCAAAAGGCTTTTTTAGTAAGTCTAACCAAATGCTGCATGCACATCTGCATGCAGAATGGCTCTGCAAAGTAGGATCCAAAGTTTATGCACAAATTGCAGGTTCAGACAGAGCCTGTTACATACAACCAAGATTCTGAGCAGTTCACAGACCTCCAGTGCAGCTTTTCTGTTTCCAAATGCTATCTAACAAACAGTAAATATTGATTTATTTTGGGAACAGAAACATAGGGACATTTTTTGCACTTACAAGTGACACTGAATTAAACCAAGACACTGAATTAAACCAAGACACACATTGCTACTTAATTAATGGATTTCAAGGTCACCTCATTGCCCACATAATTATTACGGTGTCATGTCTCAATAATGCATTGCTAAGCTATATTGCTTTGCTGTATATTTACACAATATCATTAGGAAATCATGCAGCAAAATATGAAGACACTGCTCTGTGATTCCATTGCTTTTGGCAACAAGCAGCAAGCTGTCTCCTCTCTCACCGACATCTACGCTCAATAATGAAGTTGTAGTGACAAGTACATCTCCTTTTTCTCATTATTTCCCCTCACTTTCTGGCTGCTTGCTCAAACAAGGAAGGTTCCAGGCAGCTCAGTCCTATGTGTAAAAGTAAGCATTCTTTCCAGTTCTGTGACTAAGGCTTTATTAATCCTGCCTGTCACGTCAGTGAAATAATATCAACTTACAGAAAAAAAACCCAACCCACTCAAAAATGTAGGGGTAGCTGGAGAATGATCCCTCATTTATTATTTTGAGCTGGTTAATGGGGTTAAGGATTGTGGAAGATGCTGGGCAGAGAGAACTGGCAGCTGCCTCATCCAAGAGGTAAGTGAGAAATCGGCTGGTTCAAACTTCTTCATGTTGTGCCACCAGTGTATGCCTGCTCTGAGCTAGAGAAATTGCCTCCAAGAAAACAGAAAACAGATCAGTCCCCACCCTTTCTTGGTAGGACAAAACACTTTGGTTTTACCTCATGAAAAAAACAGAGCTGAGTGAACAGCCTCAGGGTGCAACTGTAAAGGCAGAGAAGATCACAGCAGTGTACAACAAAATTAGAATAGAATAGAATAGAATAGAATAGAATAGAATAGAATAGAATAGAATAGAATAGAATAGAATAGAAAGAATATTTGAGTTGTAAGGGACCTACGACGATGATCTCGTCCAACTGCCTGACCACTTCAGGGCTGACCAAGGTATAGCCTGTTATTAAGGGCATTGTCCAAACGCCTCTTCAACACTGACATTCTTGGGGCATCAACCACTCTCTAGGAAGCCTGTTCCAGGGCTTGACTGCCCTCTTGGTAAAGAAATACCTCCTAATGTCCCATCTGAACCTCCCCTGGCGCAGCTCTGAGCCATTCCCACGTGTCCCATCGCCGGATCCTGGGGAGAAGAGCTCAGCACCTCCCTCGCCACGTCCCCTCCTCAGGACGCTGCAGGGAGCAGCGAGGTTGCCCCTCAGCCTCCTCTTCTCCAAACTAGACAACAGCACCTCCCAGTTTGGTATCATCAGCAAACTTGCTAATGCTGCGTTCAACTTCTGCATCCAGATCGTTGATAAATATATTGAACAGAACTGGCCCTAGAACTGAACCCTGAAGAACACCACTGGTGACCGGTCGCCAGACAGATGTAGCCCCATTCCCTACAACCCTTTGAGCCCTGCCCTTCAGCCAGTTCTTCACCTAGTACACCGTAAACCCACTCATCCCACAGTTGGACAGCTTGTCCAGAAGGATGCTGCGAGGGACAGTATCAAAAGCCTTACTAAAATCCAGAAAAACTACATCCACCGCCTCCCTACAGCTACAAGGTGGTTGACCCTCTCATAGAAGGATATCAAATTAGTTAAACAGAACTCTCCTTTTGTGAACCCATGTTGACTGTACCTGATGACTGCATTACTCTTTAAATGCCTTTCAACAGAACCCAATATAATCTTCTCCATAATTTTTCCAGGAACTGAGGTTAGACTAAGAGGTCTGTAGTTCCCTGCGTCTTCCCTCACGCCCTTTTTGCAGGTTGGAATAACGCTGGCCAGCTTCCAGTCAGCAGGGACCCCCCCAGACTCCCAAGACCTTTGGTCACTGATCGAGACAGGTCCTGCCGGAACATCCGCCAGCTCCTTCCGAACTCTGGGATGAATCCCATCAGGCCCCATGGACTTGTGAATGTTCAGCTGACACAGCTGGTCCCTTACAATTTCAGTGTCCACAAATGGAAAGTCACCATTGCCACCCTCGTGGTCCTCCGACTCAGGGGACCGGGCAGCCCAAGGTCTATCAGTATTATCAAAGACTGAGGCAAAACCCGCATTGAATGCCTCTGCTTTTTCTTCATCTCTATTAGTTAGATGACCACATTCAACAAGTATCAGTCCAATGTTTTCTTTAGACCTCCTCTTGCTATTAATATCTTAAAAAAGCCCTTGTCATCTGAAACAGCACTGGCCAGTTTCAACTCTAATTCAGCTTTGGCCTTTCATGATAAATGAACCCCAGCTCTGTACTCTGCACATACAGTCCTAGGGATTAAGAAATCATGTAACTGTCATTCCGTGTTGCTAGATGACAATGTTGCTTTCTTCCCTTGAATAGGCTTGTATGTCCTCTACCTACCTGACATTCAGATTCTTGCCTATGGCCTGTTACTGTAATATCGCTTCATCTGGTGCCAGCCTGGACGCTACAGACCGTTCATTTTTGCCACTTTGCACAGCCTAGCATCATATGCATCCAAACTCTAAATCAGTGCCTGCTTCCTGATTGCGCTCCAGTTTTTCTTTAGTTGCTCTCCCCTGCAGGCTTTGACACTATGGTGTACTTGCCAGTCTTGCCAGTATGACCCCGCTTTTCATCATCAGGCTTTACTCCACAGGACCCGCTGGTCTTCCACTGCATTGAATTCAGCTCCTCTCTTTGCATCCTGGCGTTCACTTCCATACAATATTCCGCTCTGCAGCTTCATCTGCCTCTGTGCTCCTTGATGAATTCTCTTGGTGGTTGCCTGATTGCGACTATGCATCTGAATGTTCAACAGCTTTGCATTTAAAAAACAGCCCTTGACACAGTTGGTGAAGGCTTTCTAAATGTCCTCTTTCCAGGTCCTGTTCTCGCTCTTATGAATCACTAATTAGCTCATATTATAAGACACAATATTGCTAGATTATTTTGCAAGATATTTGCAATAAGATTTTGGAGAGACTGAATTTTGTGAAAGAATAATCTCCTATTTCTTCACACTTTTGATTACCTTTGTTGGAAGTTTACCTTTCCACTTTCCATTCCTACAATTTTATGTGGGTCTCCCTAGCTACTGGTAACGCTAATAATCCTCCTGGAGAACACAGCAGGCCTTTCTCCATCACAGCTGGTAACAAGGTTTAGCTTGTTTTCCTTCTTTATTTAGCCCTGGAGCCAGGTTGTACTTTTTTGCTATTGTGATCTAAGGAACAAGGTACTAAACATGTCCTCCTTTCCTCTTCATCTGCTCAGGGGAACGGGAATGCGAGGTGACGCTCTGATTTTTTTTGCTCTCCGCTTTGACACCTTGCGAGAGGTCTGCGTGCCGCATCTTCCCCTTCTGATGGCACGTCCCTGCGTGATCCACCTTCCCGTGGCACCAGGCACGCGAATACAGCCACGCGCAGGCACTACAGAGCGTTTGTGTCTTAATCCTTCTTCCACCTCTGCTACTCACTGTTGCTAAGCCTTACCCGGGAGGGGACGTCTCTGACAGCCAGGTTTTTAAGAGGGACGTGGGCACCTATTGATAAAAGCAGGCACCTTGCAGAGTTTTCTCAGGGAGGCATTAAGACGTACTTCACTGTCTGACTCCCATGGATTTTATTGCAATCTGAGTAATAAGAGTCACTTCTGAAAATGTCACTCGGTGCCCCTCTCTATCCTTATGAGCCTCTAATGCCTTTAAACATTTGGCCATTGAGTTTCCAGACGTGACCTGCTGGGTAATCACACTGTAGCACACACCTCCTGATTAGGAGCCCGTTTACTCCACCGGTGGTGTGCAGTTTTCTGAACTAGACACTGCCAACTCTCATCCCGTTTACTCAGGCCACGAAACAGCCAAACCTCACTTCTTCACGCTCCCACTCCAGT